GGGGGGGGGTCACTGACAGTCTAGTGTCCATCTTCCTGACGACAGTTCCCACTCAGTGATGGCGTGAATGTGAATGTGACCGGCTGGCTGTCTCTCTATGAGTGAATGAGTGGAGAGCGGTCCAGAGTCGAGTCCCTCTTTTGCTCAAAGTTATCTGCGATTGACTCTGGCTCTCCGTGACCCCGAACAGGATAAGCAGTACAGAAAATGGATGGCTGGACAGATGGACAGTCCAGTTTAGTTGTCCACATTTTGGGTTTTTATTCATTCAAGTTGTAAAGGATACCTAATAGATGTGCTGTACTACTTTTTGTATCAGGATTGGTATCAGGATATATCAAATTGCTATCTCAAGGTACAGTCTTGATACAACAGCTCGGACATCCAAGTTGTGTGGACTCCTTGTATATGAGTGCTAATATCAGAGAATTTGGACGTAGATTGATAATATAAGATGCTGTTTTGTTTTGCTGATATCAGACCGATTTTGGATATCAATATCGGATCAGGACACCGCTAACGATTGGGCTTGGCCTATATCTACTTCTGCACTACCACTGGTCCTTATCTTTTTACCAATTAGGGAATGCCATAGACCAGGGGTCCTCAACCCCAGGGCCGCGGACCAATACCGGTCCACACAGATAGAATAAATACCTTACATTACTTCCGTTTTATTCATTTCGGAATCTAAAAGATGTTTTAGTTTGAAAAATTACAGGATTCTCTGTTACATCCGTCTACAGTGTGTCACTCTCGACGCAGGTCAAGGCACGCTTCTCAGTCACGTGATAGGTTAAGGCTAAAATGAAACCGAGAAGCGCTGAGTAAAAAACAAAGGTCTTTGTTTCTTGGGAAGGGGAAAAGGCCCAGCCAGGAGACTTTCAAGAAAAAGAAGGTGACAATTAATCGACAGTATCAGGAGACCTACTTAAAATACGGATTTATCTCAACATGAGATTCCCACGCACCGATCCCGCTCTGCATAATATGCGGCGGATGGTGAGTCGTATTTTTCATGCGTTTTGTATCTTATTTTGAAGGCACGTTTAAATATTATCATAGCGACCAGAGAGCGTTATGGCCAGATAGGACGTTCCTCGCGTCACGATTCGTATTTATTATTATGTTTCGAAAATACCTCAGTTTTCATGCAGGTCATACCATATTATTTCGTTGTATTTGTCCGCCACACCTTAAAGGCTGGTCCCTGATAACATTGTCTGATATTAAACCGGTCCGTGGGGCAAAAAAGGTTGGGGACCGCTGCCATAGACAAACCCAGTGTTTACTTTCAGTGCCTCTTGCAGTGGTGCTGCCTCTGTGTTTTATGAAGGTGAGGTTATTGCACTGGGCATTTGTCTCCAAATATCCCCAATGTCACTTAAACAGCATAGAGGGGTCTAGGGATTGTGGAGCATTCAAAGGAATCTGCCACTGTAACTCGTCCAACAGTCCCATCTAAACATGTCATGTTAGAATTAACAGAAAAAACAATCAGAAGCGCAAACAGTCGCCAATGTGAACTCGAATATTTTTACAAGGCTGTCGTTGGTTCACTGTGAATGTCGCAATGTTTGCAGTTCACTCTCCACTTGGGCAACACGAAATAACATTGACAGTGTACAGCTGTTTAATGAGCGGAGGGTTATCTTTGAGGATTACAACTTGATGCACACTCATTTCAAGAGCTTTGGCCAACATTTAAAGATTTCTAATCTCACATCTAGCAAGCAGTGATAAACAGTTTTTTTGGGGGGGGGGTCCTTTAAAACAGTGGATCCTCGCTATTGGCTCTTAAGAATAGATTATGGTTTGCAATGCAGAGCCGGTTGCAGTAAACGAAAGAGTATATGCCACAAGCTATCATGCCAAAAATATACATTTGACTATATTAATAATTTAAACCATGAATATACCACAACTATGATCCCAAAAACTCACAAGGTTGATAGCATTTGAAATGCTTAGAAACCTACTGTGCAAAGTATTTTGCCAAGAAAACAAAAGACTGGTTAAAAAAAAAATAATGCGAACTGGCAGGTTTCCATGAGCTAACAAGGGATTAAGGTCTCAAACGCTTCATCTTTGCATGTCTAGATGGAAACACATGTACAGTAAACTGCTTTATATAGAAGAATATCATCAAATAATGCTGATAAAACAGTGCAATAATTGATCCACAAAAACGTATTTAATATTTAATACAGATTTAGCAGTGAAATGAATGCATGTATAAATGCAACTCACAATTCTTAAACTCGGTTTGTTTGTGAAATTATTATTTTAATTCACTTAATGAAGTAGTTATGAAGAAGTCCTTTAAACTTTGCCCAGCAACAAGTGACAACTTGACTTGAAAAACATTCTTTAAAAATCTTTACATTGGAAAAAAAAAACTCGAAGATTGTTTCAGTTATTTATTACAATGAAAGAAATGAAATGAAAGAAATTTCAAGAGGGGGAAAAGCCACCAATACAATAAGAATACATTTTTATATTTATCCTGCCATATTGTCTACCTGTTTTTAGTCATATTAGACGTATACAGTTACTTAAAATATATTTTTGTTATTTTTATAATATATAAAGACACATTACTCTTAAAATATATATAATTAAAAAAATACAATACTCACAATTTAGTTGAGCAGCTAGTCGTCGTTTCATTCGCAGCTTGCTAGACATGATCAATCAATCTGACTCCCCATGCTAATCCAAACGATAGAAAAGACGACGGAACAGGTGTCTGTCTGCCTGCGTGGAAAAGAAAAGAGCACGGAGTGCGTGTCGAGCGAGTACTGTGCTCATGGTCGGCTTCAAGCAGCACAATTGAGAGAGTTTCCGCTGCCTCCATCTGACTGCTGGAGAGAGGGGAGGCGCACCGACGAACAAATCTTGCAACACTCATCCTATTACTCATCCACTACAACTGATGCGGGATTGATTAGGTGTGGCCTTTCTCTCCCTACCCACAATCCACCGCGCGACTCGAAGAATTGGCGGGTGACCAGGTGAGTCGTGCGAGCGTTTGGTTTCTTTTGTGTTCACTACCAACAGGAATGTTAACATCATAAAACTATGACATTTCCTTTAAACAGCGATTTTTTTTTTAATTTGGCCTTCATTCATGGACAAGTGAAAACGCATTAGCCGCTACCATAGACACGCCTAGCTCATTACAGGTATTTGTACAGTTTCCTGAAAACATGCTGACTTTTGATTACGCTGACATGGCTCCATGATAAAAATGGCGGAAACAAGTCAGACGTCACATATCTATCCCTTGTATGGTTAAAGTATACTTTCTGCTGATTATTTCTTCCTCTACCAATCCGTCAATATTCTCAAAATGCCGACATCCCCTTTTTTTTTGGCCGGTTGTGTGGTTGACACCCTAAAAATTATTTTATCTGTCTTCTTGCAGGTAACAAAAAAAGAGAAATAAATGAGTGTTTCCGGATTACCACGCTATGATCCCATGGAGCTTGTTTCCGCCAAGTAAGACAATTTTCTTCAACTGATATTTTTTATTTGGGAAAAGAAAAAGCACACGAATCCTTGGATCCCTGCTAATTGAGCTCTCGCAGACATGACGACATCCATAACACCACTTTGAAATGAAGTGTTCTTCGACTCCGTATTTGAATATTTGTAGAGCGTATTCATGCTTTTCTGTAAGGAGGAAAAAATGTCAGAAATGCTGCCTCGTGCTTCTTTTTATTTTTTTCTTTCAACTGCATCCACTAACACAGCAGGGGAGTCCATCTCACAAAAACAGCTTCCTTTAGAATGGCAGTCAAGGGACCGGCGGAGCAGCGGAGCAGAAGTAATGGTCTTCTAATCAGCTGTTTAAAGCGAAAGTCAAATTTACAGGGAGTCCTTGAAGGGGTCAAGGCTCAGGAATTTCAGATTGAAGCTGTACTCCAGCTCCTCATCCCCTTCATCGGCAGGAATTAGAACAACATGTACATAGTCATTAGCAAAGAACAAGACCAGTTTGTTCGGCCGTACTTAACATGTGGATCATGAGGCCAGCTGTTTCCGTCGCTCTTCTGTTTGTCATCATAGAGGCTGTCGGGCACAGCTGCTAACAGCTGCTCACTGCAAAATATAATGCAACGCCGCCATATTATTTGTAATCTCCATTTTGTATTCATAATGAAATGATCACACAATTTCAGGCAACGCTGGTGTAGTAGGCCATTCAAAATCAGACCTTTAACTTTAGCTGCACCATACATTTTGTGTCAGTCTGTAAATTGGAACCAATGCAGATCTGACTGTAATACACTTATTTTACTTTAGCAGAGTGTACCATTCAAAATCAAAAACGTTGCTGCCACTCTCAAACGCTCTGGAAATATCTGCCGAACGGCAATTTAAAGTGGATGCAAGTTCATCTCTTTCTTTATGCCCACACATCCCTCTGTTTGAGCTGCGAAACTAATATCCTCTTAAAGCCTTCGGTAGCTGTTATATTTCCCACCAGGTCGTCACGGGGCTTTCAGAGAGACGATCCCGTCTGAACAAAATCAAATTTAAAGTTGGAGTGTTGAAGCCTGAAAAGTCAAACACAGATCATCTTAAAATTGTGACTGGTTTAGCACTTAGAATTGTACTACCTTCATTGTCTCTTGGTAGACTGCGTTCTTACTTTGTCATTGAAGAAAAAAATCTGTTTCAGTTTTCATTTTTGTTGTTGAAAAGTTGTGTCGTAAAGTTTTTACAGGCATGCTATCAGACCGGCTAAATCCTATGTCGCGCCTCGAAAGGAAAACAATCCATTTTTCCATTTGGTGATTGGGATTTGAATGGGTTTGTTTTAGATTTTCCAGACGATGCGACTGCGCGCCCCAATTCTCAACAGTCTACACATTGTCTCTCCTCCTTTATGTCATTCATGATTTTTCAAGCTCCAAAAAATTCTAATGCAGTTAAGCAGTTTTATTTGACTGGCGCAATCTTCAGTGGCAAGACAATAAAAAGATTCTCAATTGAGCACGAGCAGGTCCTGACAGGCGGGCATGATTTAAGTATGACACGGGGAAGTACTTGGACCACTTCCCAGCCAGCACACGCTCAAGATAGTTTGGGAAATGACGCGTCAGAGTATGAATGATGTCTCGGTCGGATCTCGATCAAGCTTGTCTGCTCAACGCCGCTCTCGCCTCGCAAATCTTAGGACTTTGTGTGCAGCGCCGTCCACCGTGCGCACTCTGAGTACATAACCACTGGCACAGGAAGCGAGAAGCTGATGAAAGCACATTTTCCAAAGGAAAGCTCCGCGGTTTGGGAAGAGCATGTGATGAGACTTTGTCAAATGAGGGCGGTTGGGAGGGGATTCCAGATCATCGTATCCTCTTGAACTTCAGGATGAACCCGGGCAGAGCAGTTTCCTCTCGGCACTTAAGCACAAAAGTTGTTTATTCTGGAATCCATCGGCGCATGTGACATCAATTAAATCCCACTTGTGCAGCAGCTTTGTTTTGTTTCTTCTGAGTTGTTTTTTAAATGGAGGACATCCTCAAAGACATTGTTGGTGTTTTATATTCTCCGCTGCATGTTGTTTTCAATCACCTGCGATGCTCAGAGCACAGAAGAGTAAAGATTGCGCTTAATTACAGTCTGACTCAAAGACCACAATGTCGGAGGAGAGGTCAAATACACACACACACACACACACACACACACACACACACACACACAAAGAGACTTTGTAGTAATTAGAGGACATTATCTCTGAGCGAACTGCTGGCAGGTTAATGAACTCTGCTACTGCCAGTCTGATGGGGGGTGGGGGGGGGTCGATAGTCACTTGACTATCGACTCCCATGAGAAAATAACCTCTCACTTTTAATTGGAGTGTTTGTGGTCACCGACAGGGGGAGTGTTCCATACTGCTGACGGTTTCCCAGGCAACCAGAGGCCAGGACCTTCACTAGGAGGTGATGAGTAGAACGACGGTGGTTATTGATTGTGTGATTGAATTGTTGCATTAATTCAATTGTTGCCCACTAAACCTTCTTTTTTAGAAATTGAAAGGTAAGCTGTAGCGGAAAAAAGCAGATGTTTGGATGTTTCACCCTTCTGGGAACAGGATGAAGGTATCTTTTGTGAACTGTGCAACCTACTAAATGTACTTTCAGTGTGCAATCATATTTCTTTCGTCCTGTCCTTCCTTTCTGCCACGTTGAATCGTCATTCATCCACCTCCCACCTTCCTTCCCTTCTGACCACGGACCCCCCCACCTCCAACCCCCAGCGGAAAGCATTCTGTTCCCCCATAGACTCAAATACCGAAGATACCACACACAGAGACTCTCATGCCAGGAAATCCTTTGCTCCAAATGCTATGTTCGGACCTCCCACCCGCTTCGCCGCCAAATATACAGCAAACAACGGCTTTAGATGGAATTTTCTCATTCCAACCAGCACATGCAGATACCCGAAAGCAATGTCACGCAACATCAAGGCTTCATTTGGAATGTGTTTACCCATCTCCAATCGGTGGAATTTTGTCTTCCCAGTCTTGACACCGGGGCCACTGATGGTGTAGCGCGGTCCAGTGGGGTGTTTGCTTTTAGCCCAAAGTCAGCTGGGATAGGCTCCACAGCTCCTTGCGACCATCAACAGGATAAGCACCATAAACAGTGGATGGGAGGATAGATGGATTCTTGCAATGGAACAGACAAATACCGGGCAAAAGTATTGGGATGCGCGTAAATTGAAGAAGGGCTAGTTGCTTCTTGCAGTTCCTCACAGGTATATCAGCTTCCACTATCCTGGAAAAAAAAAACCTTTTTCCAAAATGTGGACATTCGTCCCAGAATCTCACAGGTCGAAGGTAACCGATTAACATGCTGTTGGACGCCAAACCAATCCCAGCGCCCCTTTAAGAGCATTTGTGCACTAATACTGTATGTCCACCTGAACCCTCATGCACAACAACAACACACAGGGAGCAGATTGACGTCTTGGTTTTGACAGCGTTGAGTAAGCCCCACCTTAAAAAAGAGAAATTGCATGTCAGACTCTTAGACTGTCAAAGTGATGTCAGGGGCAAATTGACTCCTGTGACTCTGATGCGTGCTCTCTTCCTGCAGGTCAAGGCGGAGACTGCTGACTCGGACCAATGACAAACAGTATTATTCTTCTAAGATGTCTGGTTTACAAGTCATGACCACTTGGGGAAAAAAGGAAGTGGAATGGGTGAGCTTGCTTTCTAAAACTACACTTATCGAGCTCGTGATCACCTTTAAACTGTGGCGTTCTAATATTCTCCACAAGCACGCGTGGGTAATTTGGAAAACATGACCTGACACATCCAAGAGGTGATCTCAAAAACAAACCCTCACTTGAAATGGGTTTGGGATGAGTTAGTCGTGAGGATATAGTGACACCGTGTGGTGGCAGAATGTAAGCGCAAAATAAGGGTGGACTGATTCAACTCCTTCAGACACAGACCCAAGTTTTCATTTTTATTAATTAAATAACACTGATATTTTTTTTAATATATAACAGAACAAGCAATGTGAGCTGGTTGGTTGCAATATGCCACCGTTTGTGTTACAAGATCTGTTGACAACAGTGTTTCAAAAAACAAAGTGACAGGTTTTTGTCTTTTTTTAACAGACTTTGATTGTTTTTGGGTGGGGGGGTTCAACAATATTGGTGCAACATGAGTGGGACATGACACAAATAGCTGTAACTTAAAGGCGATATTTTCTTTTCCACAGTTGGAATGCAATTCCGGGTGTCTTAACATGATTCAGTCAAAATACACGAGAGATAAAGACGTATTTCACACGTGTTACCCATTTGTTACAATGGTTCAAATCGTAACTTTTGGAGGCGGGGTGGTTTTATCTCATGCAAATGAAAGAGTGCAGTTTTTGTTGACATGTCAACCCTGAAGGAGATAGGACACTCGTCGTATTTCACAAGTTTTCCGCCTGCTGTAGCGACCCTTTTTCGTAAAGCAATATTCAACAAATCTAGTGATTTTGTTCATTTATTTTTTCGGTGGTGTTTTTGGAGACTCTGTGACTCCCTACAAAGCAGATGTTCACCCCTCGAGACTGCAAATGAATGGTGCATGTTCAAAGCAACCAGTGGTTAACCAACGACTCGCTCACACACATTTTGAGAAATAGGCAGATAAAAGATTGACCTTGCTTTTGAATTTCATACTTGCTGGTGGGGGCAGACAGTCCAGAGTCTCAACTATCCACCAGTATTTTTTTTTTATATATCCTCAGTCGGGTTGAGGGTAAGCTGGAGCTTTTCCCCCCTGACTTCAGGCAAGAGTCTGGGTACACCCCAAGGTGGTCACTTAGCACATATAAACAAACAATCATTCACTCTCACATTCACACATTCAACAATTAGGAGTCTTTAATGATAACAACCCTTGTATAAAGAATTTTAAAAGTCACTTTTACCCAATTGACAAAAAAACAACGGGAGTCCAGTCCTTCTCTCATAGGTGTGGATTGAAATAGGAGGGCTGCACAAATCCACTGGATATAAAGGGATGCAGGAGCCCTCCGCCGGATGAAAGCGGAGCAGCTGTGGTCGTGTGAAAGATAACATTCCCAGAGCTGAGGTTGGGGAAAGACTGGTGGAAGGCGGCCTGGCCCGAGCCGCATGTGGCCTGGCCGGGACTGATGAGCGGGGCGGGGGCGGGCGGCAAGGTGCTGTCCGCGCCAGGGTTTTGCTTTTTCCACTTGGTGCGCCTGTTCTGGAACCAGATCTTCACCTGCGTTTCTGTCAGACTCAAGGACAGCGCTAGATTGAGCCTCTCGCACACCGACAGATACCGAGTGGCACGGAACTTGTTCTCCAGCGCCACCAGCTGTTCGTAGGTGAAGGCCGTCCGGGCGCGCCGGGGCTTGGCGCCGTTCTGGTCTTGTCGCCGCCTCTTGTTGTGTGTTGAAGGCGGGTCCTGCAAGGTGACGGTCATCTCCTTTGCCGTGTGGTCCGGCTCCTCGGGCAGGCACTGCTTGCTCTCGTCGGTCTGGGTGACCATGAGGGGGTCGACAAAAACCGCGCGGTGATTGGAGTGTCCAGACTGGTCGTCTTGTAGTGAAGGAATGGAGAGAAAACCAACATGAGCTCACAGATCAGCTTAGCATATTTTTCGGACTAAAAGTTACACTTTTTTTCATAGTTTGGCTCGACCCGTGACTTGAATGTATTAAAATTCGAGCTCGGACTCAAATTCCAGAGTACGGTGCATGAAAGGGTTAAAATAATAATAATAATGATAATAATGACAAGGCTTTATTGATACATCTCTTCATGTGAAGTTCCCATTCCATATACCCACTCAGTGTATTGTGTTTGTATAGGATATAAATGTTGTACATTTAATGACATGCTACTTATGTCTCCTCCGTTTATTTTTTCATTTTTTTTTGAATACACAATGTCACTTGGGCGAACACAACCGACGGCTGGCCGTGCGGAACGGTCAGCTTCACTTTTGTCTAACCGACGTCCGTGCTTATTTATCACGTGAAAGTGGACATACAGAAGTAAACTCTTCCCGAAGTGTCGGTCGGCGGTGGTGGGACTCGGCCACTAATCCTTCAATAATTTATCGGCGGCAGATAGCGCCTCAAATGTCATGTTGCGGAAAGAAATCCCGCCTAAATCCAGCCACGCCGTCTCAGCCGTGACGTGCTAATGGATTTCATATTTGCCCGCGGGTCGATAAATGTCATCTATTTAAGAGGGGTGGGGCGAGTGGGGGAGTCGGAATCGAGCGATTTTTGGGATCAGACATGGCTGGGGTGTGTGGGTTTGTACCTGCAAGGTGCTGCGAGGAGATATGCAGGATGCGGTAATGGGATATCGATCAAAGCGTCCTCAATGGGACGATTTAAACAATTATCTCAGCCTGCCTGCCCCAATGCCAATCACACCGCCGGGGCTCTGGGATACAAGCCTTTGTGGCTTCCTTGAAAGAGAACTAACCGTGGAAATTAGGCGAAGGTCATACAAAGATGACTCTGATTTAATGTGAAATAACGGCTTTAACCTGATTCTACTCACTCCTTGCAAAAAAAAAAAAAGTATTTCTTTTTCTTTACTTGTTAGCAGGATGATGTGCAAGCATTTAACAAACTTTGTATCGGACACAAATGAGGGATGTTTCTAATAGCGTTATTTGTCTCTCGAACAGTCACAATAAATAATGATTTTTTTAAAAATGCCACTATGTTTGATCAAACTTATCTATTCTTTATGGCTGCCGATTATCTATCATTCAAGTCAGCATAAACGGCAAATGAGGCAACTGGCCTCTTCTTGTTGGCTGAATTTTCTTTTTCTTTCTTGTTTTCCCAAATTGTCACAAATATGACTTGGGCTACTATGCTGTTTGGCTAACGTTCTGTTTGCCCCAACTTGCGAACTAAAGTTGACCAAAATATTATCTTTTGCAGTCAACTTCAATACCACCACAGTCACAATAGTTAAAAAAAAAAGTTTTGTTCAGTTATCCCCAACCAGATGCGGAAGTGTCACTATTCAACTATCTATGCTGCAGGCGTATAGTGACAGCCAGAACAGTTTAACACTCTTCCGCAAGACGGCTTAAAGTCATTTTTTTAAAGTAAATACCGGTTACTGGTGACATTTTTTTTTAATAATTTTATTTTGGGAATTATTGTCATTATACAAATGGCTTTCTGTTTGATTTAATTTCGTAGGTGTACATAATATTTGAGACACAATTAAATGGCCCTTTTTTTTTTTTAATCATTGTTTCTTGAACATTAACCGTCATTTCTCGTTGACGAATACTGTACATCCATCTTCACAGGAAAAGGCAACCATATGCAAAATGTAGACAATTTGCTGTGCTATTATCCAAAATATCTTTTGACATATTTCTTCTTCTTCTTTACCTTCAGCTGTGTCGCCTCCTTCCGCGTCGCTCTCTGTCTCCAAACTAGTGCTCTCTATGTCCGCCACTCCAAACTTGGCGCATTCGCTCGCCTTCCTGCTGGTGAATTTGTTCGGGTCCAGGATGTCGACGATCGAGAAGGAGATCTTGTGAGTGGACGTCATGGTCACTCCACGGTGCTTAGAATCCAGCATGCTTTAAAAAAAACACCAACAACAACAATAAAAAACTGCGACAACCAAAAATAGACTGTCGTGGGGTGGGGAGGGGGGTGATGCGTAATTACGCGCGCGCAGCAGGTCCTCTCATAGTCTGGGTGCTTCTTGGAACCGGCTCATCTGCGCTCTCCCCTCGTCTGTGAAGTCCTGAAGGAGGGGTGCGAGTTGGCTATCCTTTAAAGCGTCTGACCCCCACCGGCACCACACACGTCACGCAAACACTATTAGTGTTTCACACGACCCCCTAATGGGCCCCGGGTATTGCTCGATAATCACCCATATCATTAAATTCAATATTGCTCGAGCTGAAAGTAAATTGGCCACAGATGGTGCTGGGAAGGATCAGAGTCACCAAATTGGGAGTTGTTGCTGTCGTTGTTGGTTTTTTTTTTTTTTTGAAGGGGGGTTAGACCTTCACAAGGAGTTTCTATTCATTTTGATCCCTGTAGGAAATTACGGTGCAAGATTCTCCTCCCAAAAATGTAATTAATAATTATTTAATATTTTAGTCATTTTTCTGCTTCCACACGCATCTTTCCCATTCTACCCTGAACTATTTTCCACGTTCCGATACTTCCCACTTTACCAAAATTGCCAAATTCTCTAGAGAACCTTAATCAAGGTGGACTGTTCCAAATACCGGGTAGAGTTGGCACAAAACAGGCTCCTATGAGAAAGAAAAAAGATGTCAGAAAAAGACTTCTAGAACATCGGCACTTCACGGTTAAACAGTCTTATACTGGCAACCATTTTCGTGGAGGTATTTCAATGACAATGCACAAAACATTTGGGTTACACATGATGAAAAGTAATTCCTGCTGTCATAGAGTACTCTAAAAATTATTTGGTAGTAATTTTTGAAAATACGTGTGTGTGTGTGTGTGTGTGTGTGTGTGTGTGTGTGTGTGTGTGTGTGTGTGTTTGCGCGTGTGTGTGTTATAATATAAAATATGCAAATATAATTTTTAGGACTGGGTGCCAGTAATATGTGTGCAATATCAGAAATAGTAGTTTTTATTGGTTCTTCACAATAAGAGCTTAAAACGCTTTTAAAATGCTAAGAGGCTTTAGAGGCATAATTCTTGATGCAGGTGTGCCTAATATTTAGGTCTGGGCATGTATGAGCATTTTACATATGAATAAACACTTGTTTCCATCATATAAGTAACACTTTGACGTTTTGGAGAGCCCGTTACATTTGTTTACAAATGTGACATTGTGGACGAGTTACGCTGTCTTATTCCAATAATAATCATCGTCATTCACAGTGAGAACTTAAACAACACTAATACGCATTTTTGTCCAACTAGAAGTAATCCATGCAAACCCATTTTACGTTCACACAATGCTCGGCGTTGATTGTTTTCTCACCTAAGCTGATAGATATATATTCACAATCAATGGGCTCCCCGAGTCGCTGCCATTAGTATTCGATATGGAGTGACACAGGGGTTGTTCAAAACCCTGCCGCCTGATGACGGCTAAATGCTGAAACCGCCGCGGGATCAATATTCCCAGCAGGTGTCCGACTCTGATAAAAACAAACCGATGGTGACCAAGAACGCCATTTCAGATAGCGGGAGGCCAAGCCAATTACTGCAGTGGCAAAGCTTTATTTAACTCGAACTCATAATCAACGAGTTCCGTTTTTTTCCCCAAGATAAATTTGTCCTCCGACACAGTTTGTCATATTCAATACATATTTACACATCCCTATTTAAAACAGTCATTTTAAAATTAATGCGCATCTCAAAGAATGTGTTTCACTCGAACATGCGAGTTGATTATTTTTTTTTTCTTTAATGGAGGATTCTGCCTAGCAACAACCGGCAGATGTTTCATGGAACCGCTAAAATTTATCCAAGCAATCCCGCATATGTTTCTGTGCTAAAATTGTGTTCTCCTCAGAAAGTTACATCAATAATTAATTCGAGGGGTGGGCAAATATGGTGACCATGCATCTGTTAATCCCCAAAAATATATTATCGTAGGAAGGGAATTGAAAGGAGTTTCCTGGAATGTAATCTAACTACGTGGCTGAGCGTCACTTTTCTTGGGCATCGCATTTCTGCAATTACTTTTTTTGAAGTGTGTGAGGTCCAGATTGTGGTCCTTTCTTCCGTCAGCGAGGTGTTTATACACTGTCTGTCTTTCTCATTCTTCCCTCTGCCGCTTCCTGTGTTGTCTGCGCTTTGTTGTTTTCTGCATTGAGCTCGAGCCGGTCATAACCTGGTGCACCGGTGAGCTCTGCCTCAGTTACAAAGTCAAACATTTGTGAAAGCCGCCCCAATGGGGGGGGCTTGCTTGTCAACATTTGCATGTGTATGGCACTCGCGCACGCAGGCGCCACTCTGTGCCCTGCATATGAATGCTTTCGGCCACACGCTGGAGCTTTACAACTTCCTACGAGAAAGCCCAATGGCCGGACATCTGTTTGTGCGTGCGAGCGGGACAAAGGAGGACATAAAGGCCCTCGGGTTGTCTTCACGCTGTGCGGGAAGAGGCCTGTGGCCCCAGAGAGGGCGGAGCGGGCCCCAGAGAGGGCGGAGCGGGCCCCGCGTCGCACACGGCAGGGGAGCCGCCGAGCCACACTTCCATCTGAAGACCCGTAAAGTAATCACTTGGCAGGGAGGGCTGCCCTTAGTCTGCTGAACGTCAGATTACTTGTCTAATGGCGGAGGAGGTATGATGAGCTGCACTGGTATTCGCAGACTGCAGTGTCCGTTGTTGTCTGCCTGCACGCCGCTGTAAAGTTGGGGGGCAAACAAAGGAGTAGCAAGTGACTAGCGGGCAACGAAGTTGGGTTGTTTGAACCTCTGTGCCAGATTCTTGTTCAAACTTCATAGCTACTCAATCACCTTTCTGTTCTATGTCGGGTCCGTGTTGTCTAGGAACTGCGTTTTAAAGTCCATTTCATTGATCGGTTCGCTTAAAAAGTTGCTGGCGTTAACGTTTTGCATTTTCCTGTTTGAAACTTCAAAGGGGCTACACTTTGCTCAAATGACCCATTATTGGCCACCAGCGAATTTTAAGCAAAGATTAATTTATCTTTCTAAACCTATTTTTGATGCTTGTTTACTACTACTCATGTAATCCTTGGGGATGACCTGGTGCCCTTGGGCCCCACGTTGGTGACTCCTGGTCCACGGTACACACCACCCAACACCAGCCAACCTAATGGGGACGATCCAAAAAATTGGTTGAATGGATCAAGGATAAACGGACATTCATCCAAATAATATTGAAAACTTAACGGTCAATGAGTAAATGTTGGAGTTAGTATATATAGTGAAGTGTTGGCGTGAATATAGATCCAAATATCGGTTATCAGCCTCCTTGATTTCTAATGATCGGTTTCAGCCCTGAAAAAAAAACCCCAACCCTTTCAGTCCATCGGTAGATCGAATGGCTGTCCTAGTTTGAAACCGGTACATGTTGAATTCTGTGCGTATCATCTTCACATGCTGTTCGGCCGCATCTCCGCGTCTGTGGGTGTATTTACCAGGCTCCCTGCCACTCATTGTTGTGCACGTGCTGGTGTGACTCTCAGAGACAACAAGGTCAGTGGCATTGCCCGGTAATTGTCCTAACGGTTTGTGTACCTGTTGGGTGGAGGCGAGTAATGAGAGTTTTTCATTATGTGCGGGACGGGTGAGTGCGCCTGGCAGATGCTGACAGGCAGCAGATGTGGAAAGTTGGGCGGTGATTTGTACAGAGGGTCAACTGCATCGCATGGCCAATGGAGAGGGATGGAGGTGGGGAAGGGGTAAATTACGCTGAGGGACACTGTCAGTCATGCCTTGCCCCTGTCGGAACAAGGTAAAGGTCAGTTCACGCACTGACGTCATCGGCGCTACTCGCACACTGTGGACATGTCAGTGAAGGGTCAAAAAATTTTTACATCTCAGTCATGACAGCAATGTTTGTCTAACTTTATTGAGGGCTCCATAGATAAACGAACAGTTTGTGCATTTTCTGCAATTTGAAGTAATGCCCTTTTTTTTTTTAATAGTTATGGATTTTTTTTTATTCACTTGATTACGTGTTAAGATAATCATTAGTTGCAGGCAGCCCCATTTTCGAGTGATGTCATATAATCGTAGCGTCGATGATACATTGATGCACTTGCAAAACATATGTCTGTTCATAAATCCCCCTCCTTCAAGTGTGGCATCCCTCATGGCTCCATTCTAGAGTCTCCGCTGTTTCCAGTATATAAGTTTACATCCAAAAATATTTTTATTTGGCCGTTGTCATTTAGCTGCTGTGTCGATGATAAGATTGAGTGCCCTTTTGGCTCTTCAAAAATTTCTCCTTTCAATCAGCGAGCCACCTTACCCGATCATTCAGCCACGGGGCTCAGATAAGCCCTGTTCTTGCAACCCAACAATGGCATCCTGTAGAATTCCCAGTAAGCTCCGCCTGATCCTCCTGGTTACCCACGGGGCGGCCTGTGACCTTGCCCCAAACTCTCTTTGTGACCTCTTCATTCCACTTATCAACCACCGCGATCCTCCAGCGTTGACTTATCTGTCACCCTCACAATTCCAATATGCTCAATCTTTAGTTGTGGTGCTCAAAGTCATCAACTTGTTTCTTCCAGTGTGCTATGTCTTCAATTTTGCGTTGTAATGCAACCCTTTTCACTATTTGTGTTGCTTTTGTGCACAAATGAAGTGTTTTGGGGGTTTTTTTCCTCCCTTTTTTTTTTCTTTTTTACTTGGGCCTGCTTGCTAGCGTGGCTGGCATCTGCAGCGGTCGTACTGTCACTCAACGTGAGCATTGATTAGCCATTGTTCTGAGAAGGTCACATCATAATTCATTAACAGTAATTACACGCGCGGTGCCACCTGCACTCCTCCTCTCGCCGAAGCGCTAAATTACGAGCGAAGCCGTCGCGCGGGCCCGCGCACGGAAACAATGAAGATGTAAAGGCGTGAGAGCTATTAGTTACATTATTTAAATGGAGCCGTTTAAACCTGGGGAGCTGTCTTTATGAAGGGCAATTAGGCACTAACGGTAATTGATAATTCCTGCTAATTACAATTAGGAAATATAAATAGTGGCTGGAGTATTTATCATCATTGCAGAGGAGTGGAGAGCTGGCATGGGAAGGTGTGATGGAAGGCGAAAGGATTTAGCTCCATTCATCTCCATCTTGTGCACCAACAGATTGTGTTTGTCCCTTTATATTTCTCCACTGACCATTAGCTCTTTTTTTTTCCTCCCTCTCTCACTTTCTGTGCCCTTGCCAAATAGTGCACAAGGTTTTCAAACTGAGAAAGTGTGCGCTACGGCGCTGCTGTTTAAACTCTGCAGGGTTTGAAATCTATCCAAGAAAATCCAGTTTTTGCCTTTCGTTTTCGCTTATTTTAGTAGTTTTAGTGTCCTATCCATCTAATCAAGAGCAAGCAGAAAACATGATTTTCTGCCCCAGTCATTCCATCAACCAGCTCCAGGTTAAATTTGGGGCTCTCACCTCGTAATAAAATGCCCCATTTGACCTTTGAACCTGCTATCTTGTGGATGAAAATGCTGGTTCCCATCCCGGTTGCCTCCACAACGACCTTTCTTGACATTCAGGCTCTGGAAGTGCCGCTACGCAAAGCTAACGGCGTGTGATTGATCGCCGTCATGGCGTTCGCCTCCAGCAGGCATCCCGTCCAACGACATATCGGTTCTTCAAAGCGACAGCAGGCAGACTTAAGTTCAAATACGCTGCTGTCTTAGCTGAGCAAACGGAGGGGGAGGTTCCGATCGTACTGTCAACATGTCGTCTCAGCGTTTTGCGTTTTATTGCTTTATTCACAAGGAATTTACATTTAGTGTGCTGTCCAGACTGGGGTGTCCTCTTGCCTGCCTTCTGTTCCTCATGTATGTAAATGCATACTCAGCATACATAAATACACCGGAACCCCTACAATCTGTCTACCTTCACTCACTCCACGTCATTTCCTGTGTAATTAGTTTTCTCTAAAGACCCCTGGTTGAGGCTGCTGCTTCAGTTGGAAAAAGTGTCACCCAGAAAAAGGGCCAAAGAAAAATCAAAACAAGCAGCAAATCCTTTGATTCTTGCTGACCCGAAGTTTCATACACCATCCACATTTTCAAATTTTAAAGGTTATGACGTCAGGGCCAACTCTTCACTCTACAGTGAACGCCAAGGATTGTAATTGCCTATGGATGTTGCAAGGCGGCGGCAAAGTACTACTTTTGCCTGACTCGCTCTCCTCAATTCACTTCATAGTTTTCCATGGCACAAAGTTGCTACCAGATGATGGGAAGGCACTATTTTTGCCTGAAAGAAGCTCCTCAGCTTACTTCAACACTTCAACACTCAACAATTGTCATTGTCGTTTTTTGCTCTTTTTGTTTGCCAGGTTCACTTCCTGTCCCCTCCCGTGGTGGTCTTCAAAGTGGGCCCCTGCACTGTGACACACACGCCCCACTGCTCTCCCTGTGGACGAGCACCCCAACCCCTCAGCAGCCGCTGGTAATTGCTACAGTGAGATGTGGATCAGTGGAGCTGCCCTAATCAATAAAGTCTTCATCAGCTATTTCCCCTGATAATTCTCCCTCATTTCTTCCTTAATTGTTCTTTTTCATCCAACAAGCTCTGCGCCAGTCGTGTGTGTGAGTGTATGTCTCGACGGACCGACGGCTGATGGAGGCCGAGCTGAGGGAACGCGACGAGAACCGTGACCTCCGTGGGAGCAAAATTACGGCTGATCCCAGCTCAGACTTCCCGGGGAGAAGCTTCGTGACCGACTCCAGAGCTGGCCCGATATCAGAGGTAGACTTAAAACATTTTCACTCGACATTTTCACTGACTGTGTGGAAAAAGTCTTCCAAATAGTTGGAAATGCCTTGAATTATCCCGTAACACAATGTGTGCAATTGCTTTAGATCTGTTGACATCAGTTTGCTTTTAGTGTACGAGCAACAGCCGCCCAAGGAAATTTACTCCAAAACCAAAAATACAATGATGACACTACAAAGTTCTGGTATATTTTTGTACAAAGTATTTATCTATGTACAACCCAAAATGTTACATTAATTCCTCTCTGACACTGTCAATTAAAACGCATTATTATCACGTATATTCGTAAGGGCAAAAAAAAGAATGATACAGGTCTTACAATAAGTCATTATTAAGTTGTTCCAAATAAAGTGACTGTTGAGTGTATTTTCCAAATTTTCCCCGCCGCGCCCCTTGTGACCTTCATCCCTGCGCCGTTTCGGCCCACAACTCCAGCGGAGAATCGGAAATGATTGCGATATAATTGTGTTCCTTTAGCACTTATCGCCCTCCTGTGCCAGTAAAATGGTGTGGGACCGCCGTCGTCCCCGGTGGGAGGGGTCGCCATCTTTCAGAGGACCCCCCCGAGCCCCCACCCCCCACTCTCTTGGCTGGTCATGCGGGGAGGTCCAGTAGAGAAGCTGGAAGGAAGATGTTTACGTTAAATCTACTTTACAGTGACTAAAAGTCTAAGTAAACACTCTATTAGGCACACCTCCACAAGGTAATACGGACCGCTGAGAACTAGAACTAAATGCGGAAATCATTTGCAGGGTAGTTCCAGTTTTGACCTTTAGGGGGCAGTCTATTATTATATCCATTTCACATTTTTCCTGATTCGTCAGTGCAGCACTGGGCACACATTGTGGAAAGTAAGGTCAGAGATAGAGATAAGATTGTGCTTTCGCATTTCTGTAAGTGGTATGTGTCACCTTTAAGGTCAGGATAGTTTTGGACCATTATTGCTCAAAATATTTTTTTCTAATCCAGATTTGTTCGTTTTCCTTCAAGATCTGTATCTATATATCAAGATGATACTGGCTGGGATCCAACCCATGACTCTGACAACGATAGCAGTACCTCAGTCTTAAATAAGAGTGTTTCATGTGGCTCTCGTGATGTTATGCAGGAATTGTCTTAACATTTTTGCCTTTACAAAGTGAACGACGTTCTGTTTGGATTGCTGCTGTCCGTTTCTAATATTTGGGTTCCTATCCTGTTCAGTTAAGACTTCGAGTGAAGCTCGGGAGAGGTCGATGCACATTAAGAATTCTTCACTAAATACTTGAAAAGGGCCTCCATCAATAATTCTGGCCAGTTGAAAAGCGGCTCATCTGCCCAAGGGGCCGTTGCTCATTAGCGGCTCCTAATAAGATATGACTGGACCTTCCAGGGAATTAATAGCCAACCACCATTCTCTTTAACCTTATTGATTTTTTTTTCACTACACACCAGGAAGTATAGTCTTTGTCCTTACTCAAAGTAATTCAACAAAAAAATCATTTTGACTAAACATTCGGCTTATTTTACTTGCATTTGGAAATTCATTTTATGATTTTTTTTTTTAAAAATAAGATAAGAAAACCTTTATATGTCTCACAATGGAGAAGTGGAGAAAAAAAATTAACCCACAAAAATTATGGTCATAGGAGGAATTGGAGAAAATTGTGAGAATTCTTCCACCCCGTCAGAAAAAAAAAATCATAAAATACAGTCAAGTGCACTGTTGCATTTATTTATTTATTTATTTAAATTAAACCAATTACATATATTTTAAAACATAAGACCTAAGGCAGCATGGATGCTAGTATCATTAGCGTGTCAATGTTTTTTTTGGTTTTGTTTGCATTGTGTGTTCATATTTAGCAAGCGCAGGGCAAAGTTACCAGATGTGTTTTTGTTGAATACGCAACTTGTAATTCTCTTTGTGTGATGTTGGGTTTTACCGTAAACTGGATGCCTGCCAAACTCCTGCTTGTTGTGAAGTTCGCTACCATACGTTACATGTACCTCCTTCTATGTAGGGTCACTCAATCATAAAACAAGGTTCCACTGTATATATTTTAGTTTACTCCAATAAGTGTCCAGGTTTGACTGAGAGAATTTTCACTGGGTCTTTATGAGAATTAAAAAGACATTTCAGTCTTGCTTTTGAATTCTTCCTTTGTCAAAATGCGTTCTTCATCACGCACATGGGAGCATCATTAAAATGCGCTTTTGCGCCATCGTTCAAAGTGTTTAATCGATGGATATACTTTGTTACTCCCCTGAGGATAATTAGGGAAATTAAGTCCTAAATCACTCACCAAAAAAAGGACTAATTTGACCCATTCAAGTGCACAAAAGCATGAAGTCTGCCATCGCGCTGATGAATATGCCCCTCTCACTTTTGCCTCTTTGTGTGCCTCGATGATGATTTATAGAAGCTTTATGGTTGTTGACTCGCCGGGGCTTTATGGGGAAAATGAGATGTGAGTTGTCTTACAGCCGGGCCACTCGTCTCCTTCAGTAAGCGACAATAGGTTGTGCGAGAGGCTGGGGGATTGGGGGGGGTCTGGTCCTTTATCGACACATCCCATTACTGAGGTCTTCACGTCTTACGGCCATTTCCATAAATTCTGGCCCTGGGGACAATCTCCTGGCCTGCTTGAGGCTGATGGGAAGATCGTATTGGGGCTGTCGTTTGACGCTTCACCACACACACACACACACACACACACACACACACACACACACACACACACACACACACACACACATGCACACACTGGAACGTCACCTCCACCTCCACTCAGTGATGGAGGCCATCCCTCCCAGTGTTGAATGAGTTTACCGATGATGAGAGTCTTAGTTCAGGTCAGCGTGTATTTACAGCTCAGTGACTCCGCTCCCTCGGTTTAGAAAGCAAACAGAGAGGGTTAGGGTTAACCGATCAGACCTCTGGGAGGAATCGCGCAGGGGGCCAAGATAGCCGAGTTGCAGGGGGAGCGCTATTGTCCTCCCATCAACACTGCACTATTAATCCATTACAAGCGTGTTTTAACATACTGCTCAATTAAAAAGGCAAACGGCAAAGTAAAGTCCAGAGGCAAGGAGTTCTATGCACCTTTTAGATCTAGTTTTGTGTTTTGATCTGTCTGACTGACTGTCAAGCTCTCTGTCTTGACTTCTTTTTTTTTTTTTTTTTTTTTAACTTACATTGAAATATTATTGTGGCATTCATTTTCAGGACCTATTTTTTTATCTGTTGTATGTATGTAAAATATTTCCCTTTATATGTCAAATATTAGAAACATTTCTCCATATGATACATTGTTGTCCTGCAGGACTACAAATTGTAAACACACTAATACTCATTTTGTAAAAAAAATAAATAAATTAGAAGGTATTATGTTTGTAAAGGCACAATTTAGGCTGCAGTATTGTAGCTCTTTGACTGGATCTCACTTTTGTGTTTGTCGCCTTTCGTCAGAAGAGGGCGCTGTGAGTTTAAGGTTATGTGGATTAATATGACATCTGTGAAAAGTAACATATTCTTTTAATATATATATAATTACCGGAACATTTCAGAGTATGTCACATGAATAATTATAGTTTAAATTATAATTTAAAAGCATGACATGGTTTGGCCTGTATTTCATTTTCATCACTAAAAGTCCCAAACAATTTGCTATAAAAATCTAAAGCCGTGTAATATGATTTTGTAAGAAAATACTGTCTGTGGTGTGAATCCATTTTTCACCAACTCTGCGAAGTAAAAACAATTTGTAAAATAACGCCATCTCCTGGCTGTTTATGGTAGTGCGCGTTCCTTCATCCTTTTTCCCCTAATAGATGTTTGTTGAAAGCTGTGCGTGCACAGATAATTAAGAAGGCCTGTTTGCAGTTGACATGTCAAATGCACGCAGGCAGACGCGCACACACACGCACACGCACACACACACACACACACACACACACACGCACACACACACACTTTGCTGTCACCTGTGTTTGTTAAACATTAGCAGGCATCATCATGGTGTGTCATTTCAGTAATTGAAGGATGGTTGACTGGCATAGTTAAACACACACACACAGCCACACAAAGACACATGAGCCTCATCACCCAGTATCAACACAGTGTGCAAACACTGCAGGGCGCAGACGAGGAATTCAAAACTCTTGTTTATTGAATGTAATTTTGCTGCACATCAGATGGTCAGCAGCACCTCGATGAGGGCTTCCTGCTGAGGAGCATTGATGTATGCCAGAGACTGAACGTTTTTCCTTGGAGTGGGCCCACAGAGGACTACTTTTCCAAACGCAAGAAAAATATATTGTCACTTTTGTTTTAGGTTATACACACAGCAATAATCTGGATAAATCTAAGGAGTTTGCGATTTTAGATTTTTAGAAAATGGAACAGTTTGGATCGATTGGATGCATTTGCATCTTCTAAATAAAACAACGATTTTCCGATTCTAATCGTTTTTTTGTTTCACCCCTGGATACCAGATACATTTTTGGCACTTCTACTGTGTAGTTGGCACAGCCGAGACCCCTCCAATGGCACCCTTTTATTTTCTTTAATTGATATTGATTAATAAATATTTCACTGAGCTGTGTGGCCACACATATTGCACATACCAGAACCCGCCAGTGGTTGGCAGGTTGAGGAAGAATGAAAAGCATGTTAAAAAAAAATGTATAGTTTGTGCTCTCTGTGTTCGCTTTTGGACAATGTTTGAATGTTATCGCGACAAACAAAGACAAACCGGTGGTGCACTTCCTTGAGTGAAAGGCCTGCATTACCTCTCTCATTATCTTTATTCTGCTTCAATTGCTGCGTATTGTGCTTGGCGCCGGCCGAACTGGCTTTGCAGAATCCTATCAGAGTTACTGCTTCACTCCCACAAGACGTCTCAATGCCAAACTTGGAAGACAGATGAGTGCCACTTGTATGTAGCGTGCACGCATGCTTCTGTTGCATGTGTTTCGTGTTAGTGGCTTCT